GGTTCGAAACGAGAATGTACGCACACAAAGCAACAGGAGAGTGGTTATTGTTCACATCATAGGCGAGAAAAATTTTAAAAAATCGATAGCAAGTACAACGCTTACTTGTGTGCGATTATTGTTGGTCGACAGGATACAGAAATCCAGTGTCTATAGTAGTAGCGTTTAGTAAATTTCGTGCAGGGCGTTTGGAGTGACTCGCTCTCGAGTAGGGTTATGGCACTATCCACTGTCGGTTGCCATTAGTGCCAGCATCTGGTGGTCATGAGCTATAGCACATAGTGAAAATGTGATAGGGTATCGTCAAGGCGTTTTTTGAAAAGGTATAGGGTGGGTGCATTAATTACATGTTCGGGGAGGGCGTTCCAAGGCTGTGCCACTCGAAGGGAAAAATAGTTTCGCCGACATTCCAGGCGGCTGTACTGCGTGACTAACTTAAACTGGTGACCTCTTAGCGAGGTGTTTTGACTGAGTATTAGAAGGGAATGGCATGGGTGGTTGGGGTCTCTCAGGATTAGGTACACCATAATGAGATCGCCCTTTAGCCGCCGATAACGTCCGCTGTAGATGTTAAGGGTCTTCAGCCCAGAACAGGATCGCCGATTCCATATTTCTGGAGTTTGTGGAGGAGAATGCGATGGTCTATGCGGTCGAATGCCTTTGAGAAATCCAAGTAGGCCGCGTCGATTCCAACACCAGCGTCCACAGATTCCGTCCAGTTTGCACGAGCAATCAAGAGATTAGTTGTACAGGAGCGATTTCTGCGAAATCCATGCTGTTCCGGAACGAGAATTTGGTTGTTCTCCAGGTACCCCATTAAAGCCTCAGCTACAATGGACTCCATAACCTTGGAGATCACAGGAAGGAGTGTTATCGGGCGATAATTTGCTGGATCAGCACGACTGCCACTTTTGTAGATAGGCGTGATAATTCCGTGCTTCCACATCGTGGGGACGTGCATCTCGTTCATACATCGTTGAAAGAAAACTGCTAGTGGTCCTGCCAAACTCATGGCAGCAACTTTCAACGCCTTCGGTCGAATGCCGTCCGCACCCGGGGAGCTGAACTCGCGCAGAGACATCAGCCTCTTCAGTACAGCTGCGGAGGTAAACGATATGTGGTTTAGCCCTGATGACGGCGTTATCTGCTTAGGCAGGATGTACGGTGATTGCTCGCTTTGGAAGGTACGGCCAAATTGTTGTCCAAGAAGATTGGCTGCCTCTTGTGCGGTTTGGGCTAAACCGTATGCTGTGTGCAGGGCAGGAATACCGCGCTTAACACGGCGCAAATTGTTTACGTGCCTGTATAGCAGCTTGGGATTGGAGCTAAACTTTTCCGCTAGACTTTGTTGGTTCTTAAGTTTATCCTCCCGAACGAGTTTGACACAGTGGTTCCTGTGTATTGTGTAGACATCCCAGGTATGGTCGTTCGGGGAGGCAATATAGGTGTGCCATGCCGAGTCCCTTAATGACATGCACTTACGTGTCCTGCTCCTTACGAAGGACTTCATCCTTTTGGTCCGGTAGCATTTGGTTTCAGATGTCCGTGCCACGAGCTTGGTGAATATGTTGACGAATTCACCGCAGGCCACCTCAGGCGTTAATTCAGCTAAGAACGACCAGCTGGTTGCATCAATGAGGTCGGACAGGTCTTCATAGTTGGTTATGACACGATATTCCTCGGCATGCTCTTTAGGATAATCCGCGTAGCACATGTAATGAAACAATAGCGTCGCATGATCACTGCGGCCCAAAGGAGTATCGGTTATCACTCTCTCGACCATTAATTCTTTATTGGTGAATATTCGGTCCAAAATGGATGGTCTGTCAGTTCCCCTGAATCTGGTGGGCGTAGTGATGTGGCCATAAAGAGGATAGTCTGAAACCAGATCTTGCAAATCCGCTTTGAATTGCTCTCCTGGTGTGGCCTGGGATTCGAGGGCATGTAAGTTGAAGTCACCGGTGACTAGAATGTGACTGTACTTCCTGTTTATCACGTGCTTCAATGCAGCCATCAAATTGCAGTCCATCTCAGGAGTAGACGAGGGTGGGCGGTAAACAACAATCAATAGGCCAAGATCGTTCCCTCTCAGTCGGAAATTACACCAAATGGCGTCAGGTAAGTTGGTTTCCGAATCGTTTATGCGTTCGCATTGCATGTTGTTACGAAAATAAAGGGCTACCCCACCACCTTTGCTGGTTCGATCCTTCCGGATAACGGACATGCCCGTTAGTGCAATTTCAGCATCGGTTATCTCGCAGCGCAGCCACGTTTCGGTGACAGCGATAAGGTCCCAAGCTGCAGACGCGTGTCGAAGTCTTAATTCAGCTAATTTGCTGAGTAGACCTTGGGCATTTGTGTACATGCATGAGAGCTTCTCAGAGACCAAAAGTGTGTTAGATTGGATGGATGAAACAAATGAGTTTACGCCGACCATTGAAGGGTCGGCGGCTAATCGTTTTTTGGATGGGTTGCATACTCTCGAGAAGTATTTGATATATAGGCAGGTATCAGATGCTCCGAATCCCGTTGTTTGCTCGTGCTCTGCTGCGCCCCTCCGGATATTATGGCTACTCTTGAAACCGTCCCCGAGTCGGGTCCTGCAGTTGGCGTTTTCACTAAGTGTTGTGCCTCTACTGAATTGTCACTAAAAGGTGTGGGTGTTCCTGCTGCTTTCAGACGAATTTCTGTTGGCAATCTGCAACGGAATTTAGTCCAGTTCGCTAGTAGGGTTTGTGCCATTAGTTATGACTGTAACACAAGTTTTAAGAGCCTGGGACCGCATCCTTTATAGTTTGGTGATATGGAGATCCTTGTCATCGAGGTGACCACCACATTTTCTAGAGAAAGTACCTCCCGGATGTAGTGCCATTGCTCGCGGTCATGCGTCTGTGCATCGTCGGAAGAGGAGGCAGTATGCTCAGGAACACCGTGAGCAATCACTGTTTTCTTATTTTGACTTATTCTGTAACTCTTTGTTAGCGGGATCCCCTGAGCGTTCTTTCCACGGGATTTCGGGTAGTATGCGCACTCCATTTGAGTCGTTGCGGAGACGATTCGCAGACAGCAGAACGGCCTCAGTCTCGTCTGCTGAGTTTAGTGTTACCCGAAGTAACCGGGGTTCGCCGTAGTACAACGCGTTTGGGGGGCGCGAGATTCTTCTTAATGTCGTGGGATTAGCATGGACACCGATCGACGTACAGATGGAATCCCACTGATTTCGATCGTCCGTCAACTTACCCTTAATTGTATTAGATTTGGATGCGGGGACATTAGTGCATACAATATTTAGGGCACCATGGTTGCGCCTGGTGGCTACTGGTTTTGGATTTGGAGGCTTGGTATCTGGTGTTTTTATTGAATTTGTGAAAGGCATTGGTGTGTCCCATCCGTGCTGCGCCACTTTAGTTTTCTCTAGTCCGGGCACAAAGGTTACCGGTGCTCCTTCCGGTGTTTGCTTGGCGGCAACCGATGCGTACGTTCCCGGGTGGTTCACCATTTCTGGTTGACTGTACCTTACAGTCTCGAGTGTAGCGAACAGACTACTAAGTGCAGCACACAGTACAGAAGTCGAGGCAGGCGCACTGCAGGCACTGTTTTTACTTATACGAGGGAGAGAGAATGGAGTTGATACTGCTGGAGGCTGAGTCATTGGGGTTAGGTTGGGACGCCGGGCTCGCTTCTTCGGCCTGACTAGGGAGTTTGGGGTGTTCTTTTCACTCACAAGTGCAGGCCCGTTCCCTCCCAAGGGTGTAACTCTGGCGCTCACCAGTTGCTCGACTGCTTCGGTTAGTCTTTCACACCTCTTCAGTAGCACAGATAGACAGCTAACAAATGGAATAGACTCGCATACTTGGCAGAACCAAAACGCGTCTGCGGTGTTGGCTTTCGTGAACGCCTTCCCAAGCAGGTAGTGTGGTATGTTTTCAAACACATGGTACAAACCAGACCACTTTTTACGACTTTGGCACATGATTCGCATTTGCTCTTCATACGAGACATGTTCTCAGTAGGGGTAGGGATGCGATGGAGATACTGACGCACCGTTGCGTCTCGATCGGCGCTGGTTCGAGGTCAGCGGGTCCAGGCGTGTCGAGGCCAGATGAATCACGCGTTCTTTGGGGTGGATGTGCGTGCTACCGATCCAGACGGTAGAGGGTAGGCCGTGGTGGACGTAGGACTGAGGCAAAGCAAGTTGACTTAGAAAATACTGTCTGATGACGACAGTGGCAGTTCCAAGGACGGATCAAATTGACGACTATCGCTTTGTAGAGCGACTTGAAGGAATGGTAGTAAGCTGATGGGGTGACTCTCAAAAAGATCTTTAAAATAAGACCACAAGAGTTCTTATGCGACGAGAGGAAAAATAAAACATCCGATAAACTTCAAATACGGTTGACTTCGAAGTTGCAAGAGCACAGTTTACTGGTGATCCGTGAATGATAGATCCAATAGATGAAGAGTGGTAGGAGGAGCTCGCGAAGCCAAATCGAATGATGGCACGTAGGTCTCTGTGAGAATAAATCCAAAGATTTGGAGGCGGATAACGCAGGAGGACAGTATTTTTGACTTTTTTGACTTTTTTGACTTTTTTGTCCGTGTTATACCATTGTTCCAATTTTCTATTGTACGGATGGCAGTGGTTGAGAAAGGTGTATTGAAGGGGTGAGCTAGTTGTTATCTTGTGGATCCAGTCATCATACCGGCTGCTGCGTGATGCAGCCGACAAGTCAGATGATAACTTACTCTGACTGACCACAAAGGGCGATCACAGCTGTCTGTTGCCGGAATTTTTGCATCCTAATTACTAAATCACCCCGAGACTCCTTGCATGGTGTTCTCCCAAGCGAAATGAACTGATTTGCTTACTTCCATTGATGTGAATTGGACGTAATGTGGTACACTTTCTGAGTATACGTTACGCATACCCACCTTTCCTCATTGCGATTATTACTTTCCGTCCCCACATCACACACCCCCACACACACACACACGTGCAGATGCCCCAGTCATTATTGGACCTGAAGGGAAAAACCCACGTCCAGTGGTCGAGGACGCAAGCACTCGCTTGTTCTGCGACTGGGAAGCGTCACCACGAGCTCAAGTGGAATGGTTCAAAGACGGCGAAATTATAGAGCCGACTCGTTTCCCTCGAGCCAACATTTCCACCACCGGCACTCAGGTTGGTTTCTGTCTTTTTCCCTCAGAATAGCATGTCGATAAAAGTTGTGGTTCTTTGCAAATTTAAATACGGAGAACAGCGTGAGGTCTATCGTTCGTCTTGCGCAAGATTACGATAATGTACACAGGATTTATTGGCTATTCAGTGGCTCTGTTTATCGGCTGTCGGAAAACAAATTCTCTTGTTAAGTTGTAAGGACGAAGAGTAACCATATGGACGACACAGTGGTCGTTCTCGTCTTGAAGTGTCGCAATAGTTTACCTGTTTGACTCAGTGTTGAAGTGGCCAAGGAAAGGTAACTTGGGTTATTCCAAACAATCTGCAAAGGCCTCGAAAACTGGTAACCAGCACGTCGGTTTGCTGCGACGGACTTTCGGACAACTAGACACCACTATTTTCAGACACATGCTGAATGCGTATGTTCGTCCCCATCTCGAATACGCAATCCAAGCCTGGCAGCCATGGCTGAAGCACGACCTTACTGCACTGGACCAACCTCAATGTCTGGCTTCTTACTACGTCCTTGGAATGCGCCAAGTTTCGAACGAGCAGAGGCTGAAACGTTTGGGAGTATTCAGGGGGCGATATCGCCACATACGAGGTGACTTGATTATGACGTATTTGATTTCACACAATCCAAATCATGTGTGCCGCTCTTTACTGCAACTCAGCAGTAGTACCAAACTTAGAGGCCAATCTTCTAAATTGGCAGAACAGTAAAGCCGCATGGCGTGCCGTAGCAACTATTTTTTCATTCGTGTTTGTCAGGAATGGAATGCTCTCCCAGAATCTGTTGTTTCAGCACCCACGCTAGCTATAATTAAAAGTCAGTTGGATGATGCACTCCGCCACATACAGTTCGTTGCTTGATGCTACTCTCCGTCCTACTCCCGGGAAATATCTTGGAGTTACTATTTTTGCCTAATGAAGCTATGGAAACGCTCGGGGTGCAGGGCTACAGGACCAAAAACGATAAGTCCATTATTTTGAGAGTAAAACTACCAACTGCTTTTTTCATTAACGCTTTTCGTTAACCCAGCAGATCACTTAACCGGGCTTGTAAAACAACGCTTCTTAACCAGCATGAAATAATTTTTAATTGTACATTGACTACTTTGAGAGATGCATTTGATTTCGCACTGATTACTATCAACGCTTAGTATCGTCTAGCGTCAGAATGTATTTACTGATACTTGGCCGAGGAAAATGATTGCCACGTATTCCCCCTTCATCCATCATACAGCTTCATCTGGCCAACGTGCAGGGATCGGATGCGGGCAATTACCGTTGCGTGGTTAGCAATGAGTTTGGTAAGGCAAAGCGACAATGGACTGTTGAAGTGATGTGTAAGTTTCAAACGTCCTTCTTGATTAATGCTTTAATTTCTCAAAATGTTTAATTGGAACTGTTATACCGGGAGCTGATCAGGCATCCAAACGCTACTGTGTAACGGCACTCGAATAAGTACCTCCGTCTGGAAACTCCCGTCAGACCGGCTGGTGTCCAGGCCCTCAGAGAGTTGACCAAAGTCGAAATAAATATACAGTACAGCATTTTAAAACTTGATGAATTGCCTATTGGGCGTCCTAGAAAACTGATAGATCCTGCTCACGTGATGTGAGCATCCAGTACGTGACTGATGGCTGCTGCTTTCAGCTTACGACTAAGTGCATGTTGCCCTGCTACCGTCTATGACCAGTGACCTAATCACCGGGCTGCGGCTATTAGAGCAGGTGAGCTGGCCCCAATCAATCCACAGTCTCCCCACTCAATGCATAAATCCTGCCTGTGTGTGTAGCTCAGCATATATACGCAACTGGCCTTGTGAAACCCAAGTTGGTTCGTAGGATAATCGAATGCACTTGAGAGGAATGTCAATTGATCGCAGTCGATCAAAGGATCGCTATTTCGGCTAACTAATTCCGCATTTACGAGTGCATCGGTTAAAAGCCGTTTAGATTGATAAATCTTCCTATTCGAATAGTCAAGCTCTCTATGGCATGTTGACTGTGGCTTGTTTGGTCACACTAGGTCTGCTGTGTGCTATCCAGGTGACCGCTTTCCCCAAATCTGACATCAAATGGTTCCATTGGCATTCTAACGGCAAAGATGGTTATGACATTGTCTCTAACTTCAAAAGTCCTATGTTCGGAGAACTGATTGATAGCGGATTGATTAGCCCAGCATTCAAGTTATCGGAACTTTGGAACCCGTCGGATTGGGTAAAGGAGCTAGACAGGCCAGCCGAATCTCAACCGCTTTGGGGAAACACGTTTGACGTTGGACCAACTGATGATGACCTCAGACTGCACTCAGGGAATACTCAGCCAGTATCAGCTATGATTTCTCAACAAACGCAACACGGCCCATCCCGACAGCATATTGCGCCCTTCGAATGGAGGTCCGTTCCGCTTCAACAGACGTGGAGTGGTCAAAATCCAGTTAAGGAGCCGTTGGCCAAAGTGGCAGGGAGTGCGATCACGTATACAGTGTCGAAACAAACAGTCTCGCACAACGGAAAGACCAAGACTGCCGAGGACGGTGGCTTTATTAGTGAACGATTTCAAGACAAATACCCATACGCCTTTCAGTCGGGTCGGCAATTTTCTCTTCTTCCAAGATTGAGGGGTCCAACATTCCCTGAACTTTTGTGGCAACCTGAAGAATTTTTTCAACCGCCAATGGGCGACTGGCCGGCATGGTTTGTTTAAGTCGCACCCACAGACATCTCAGTGATATACAGTGTCCTTTTAATGATCACAGATTATACTACTGTTTCCGATTCACCGTTCCATATGCTGAGATCTTTTTGTTTATCGGCGCGTCACTAAGCAGCACAATAAATGCTAAAATATTTGTTAGGATATTATAACGAGCTTAGCCTATCCCACGAGTTAAGTACGCCTTGGTGAATATGGTTAGCAGTTTTCAAATCCGCAGTGTCCACCAGTCCCTACCCGGTCGATAAGGAAATTCGCCTTCTTACAAGGCGGATCTCTCTTCCTAGTGGCGTCCATAGAGCATCAGGAACTGCACGTTATGTTAGGTTAGGAAAGAGGGAAGAGGGAACCCCGTTAGACCATCAAGTGACGGTCGCCCTAGTTCGCGATACATATATGAATGACCTATTAAGCAGTAGGTATTATCACTAGATGAGGAGTTAACACAACTGTCGCCAAGTGGTAAAACAGTAGCACGTTTACCATGGGGATCATGCATTTACAGACACTTGCTAGAGCGGACCTGCACTTTCCCGTGACTTGCTAGCGTGGAAACTTCTGAAGCCCCAGACGATAAAAGATCATGCGTTGATTAGATATAAAAGATTAGATTAGATATAAAAGATTGAGCTCGAATCGGAAATCTAGCAGTTGCTAATGGACCGCTGTACCACTGGAATACGTAGCCCGTGGAGAAGGCAGTCATAGTATAGAGACGTATATCACTGAGTTCTGTAGCTCCGGTTGCGTGTATCACTTGAGAAAGATGACGTAAAAAAGCCAACAAGTGGTTTAAAATACACGTCGGCGGCTACGATCCTATAACCGTAGCTGGAACGGAGGAATCTCAAGTGTTGCACCAAATTCTGAGCTCATGGACCGGTTTCCTAGTTGTTTGAACTGGTTAGAAATTGTCAGTAGAATGGGATCAAAGCGGCGACTAACTTACCGTCAGAGAATTCAAAACGCATGTGTGCTACAGGTTCCTTTTGTATCGCACTGACCTCAATCATTTCGGCGCATTGACTGCCGGGCTGGCTGTTCTCTTAGCCTAGCTTGTGTTCTAGTGTCCACTCGTGTAGCCGAGTCAGGCTGTCCACGACCATCCTATTACCATATCACGATTAGCTTACTTCACGTGAAGACAATCCACCCGTATGCAGGGGTTCGCTTCTATTTGTACATACGTTTTACTTACGATGGGAGAACGGTGGCTTTTACTTCGTTTCCAAATCGTGTCTTCCAAATAGTGGCATCATTACTGACTCGATTGTCTTCACTGATAGAGTGGATATGCTGCACTCTCGAAACTATTACAACGGAATACGTGATTCACAACCGTCTATCAATCACAAAAAGCAAGAAACGTTCGGGAAAGCTTTTCGAACAATGTGCGTTTTCACATTAGTAGTTCGGCTCACTGAGATTCACCCTGTAGAGCAGCTTGTACACTTTACTGCATTTGCTAGCTTCTGCCACTTAGTAATCGGATACACACATACTATACCTGGCGCAGCAGACACAACTTGATACTGAGCAGTTGGGACGCTTCTGGGGGAACGATTGCAAGATCTGCGGTTCTCTTGGCTTATTTATAGGTAGTACGATCGATGTCGGATCAACATGGGTGTAGATAGACCAAGACACCCACTCTCGATCCTGGCCGGGATTAACTGATCACATTGACATTAAGGCTAGGATTAAGCTCCAAGCCGTTTGTAGTCAGCGTTGGGACTGAGGGCTCAGATTCGGACTGGTAACCTCTCGATCATTGGACTTGTGCTGAGAGCTACCGGGAACATAAGCAGTATCACGTAGGTATTAATACTACGAGGACTTTTGGACGCGAAACTTACGTTCCGCTGGCCAATGACGCGTTGATCTGCTTGGAATTTTGACTGATATTTGGCAAACTCTTCCGCGTTTTGATTTTAAGACGTTCCGTCTCTTCGCATTCTTATCACAGCTGCCGTTAGACATCTTCATTATCATTGCGATTTCCCATCCGGTAATAAGTCTGCAATGTCCATTTCGAATGCCGATTTCTCGGGGGAGCTGTTAACTGGGCAGGCACCCCTTTCCTAGCAGCCTGGCACAGTTGACCATGACCCACGCCGAAGCTTACTGGGCAACCAATGAGAGCGGGCTAATGATGACGCTGCTGCTTGAGCGCTGCCAGTGAGGATGGTCCACCTTGAAGCCCGCCAGTGAACGCTAGGCCATTCCTTTATTAACTGTTGATTAGATCCCCTCATTTAATTTGCTTTACTTCTTGCCGGGTACGCAATACAGTTTTCAGCTGAGGCCTTCGTCTTCTAATCTGGGAAGTCGGCCGGTCAGCTTGAGCAACAGAAACTGGTTAGATGTACAGTCAGCGGGAACCACAGCAGATTTTGGCGACAGAGGTGAACTAATCAGGATGCCCATTCCCTCAGAAGACTTGAAGGTTATGTTGTTGCAACAGTAGCAGCAGCAATTTGAAGCCACACAGCTGCGAATGATTGAGACTATTACCCGAACATCATCCCTTCAGTCTACATCCATCCGAAACACAGGGAAGCCTTCAGCGGACACAGTGATTTGCAGCTAGTGAGTTTATTTTGATCCGGATTCAGGACTAATATTCGATGCTTGGTTTAGGCACTATGAAGATGTTTTCAAGACATAGCTGTAAAGTGTTGATTCTGCATCTAAAGTTCGTCTGCTGGTGCGAAAACCGGGAACGGTCGAGCATGATAGAATGCCAGAAATTTAAACTAAAGTTGCTTGCCGAAGACGAATTCGAGTGCCTGATATTAGTATGCAGCTAAGAGTATCCCAACGATGCCGAAATTCGGACCAGAATACTTTGAATGTTGGAACGCGACCCAGATGTCTCCTTAGAGAACGTCGTTTCCGAACCTCAGATGATCATAAATTTAAAACGCAACGCAGCTATACTGGAGGATTCAAAGGTGCACACCGGTGATATTACTGTCCAGCAAGTTTCAAGTGGCAATACCCCAGCAAATGAGCATAGGAGAAGTTCACAAGCTGAAACCATTCATGAAGTATTCGTTTTCAGATCGTACTGTCTAATTGTTTGAAAGGAATTCAATGTAATTATAACCAACCGGGTTGTTACAATCCAACGGCCACCATCACAATTCAGTACGAACACCCGCAGGCACGGTAAACCCACAAAGGAAACACAACTCAGTTCACGGACGGAACACAGATACGGCTTCCCGTCAATCGCTCCAATCCCAACAGGGCAGAAGAGAAGACTGAGCGAGATTTATTGTGATGATAGCTCAGTCGTCCATCGGTGAACACGTGGGCAGTACTAAGTCTACTAACATCCTTGTGAGATTAGCCAACCACGGTCCTAGGTGAGACGGGAACGGATTTGTGCGCGCCGTTTTAAAATCAAAATCAAAATAATAATAATAATAATAATAATAATAATAATAATAATCAACAGCAGTACATAAGCCATTTGAACTGATGCTTCGCTGCCATACAACCATGATGACCTATGCAATGAAGAATAATAAGAGGCAGAGAAGGGGGACTTACCTGAAAACCTTAATGCCCTAAGCAAACATTCAGGATCAAGGCGCCTACACCTTGTGTAGACAACATAC